TGACTGGAAATCGAACCCTGATTGCCTGGTTCTTAGGTCGATGCTCAACCACTGAGCCACGCCTGGCCAGGCTGATTTCTAAATATTAATTTTGTATTTTAATACTTTGCTAAATTAATTTATTAGATCTAGTCATTTTGGGTGGAGTCTTTAGGGTCTTCTATGTACAATATCATGTCATCTGAGAATAATGACAATTTTACTTTTTCCTTTCCGATCTGGAGGCTTTTTATGTTTTCTTCTTGTCTCATCACTATGGCTAGGACTTCTGGTACTATGTTTAATAAAAATATTGAAAATGGACATACTTGTCTTGTCCCTGGTCATAAGAGAAACACTTTTAAATTTTGCCCATTGACTATGATGTTGGCTGTAGGTTTGTCATATAAGGCTTTTATTACTTTGAGGTATGTTCTCTCTATTCCCACTTTGCTGAGAATTTGTATCATAAATGGGCGCTTGATTTCTCAAATGCTTTTTCTGCATATATTGATGTAATAATGTGACTTTTATCCTTCATTTAATTAATGTGATATATCACATTTATTGATTTGCAGATATTGTATCAACCTTGCATCCCAGAATATATCCCATTTCATTATGGTGTATGAGCCTTTTAATGTATTGCTGAATCCAGATCACTAATATTTTGTTGAGGATTTTAATATCTATGCTTATCAGGATATTGGCCTATAATTTTCTTTCTTTGTAGTGTCTTTATCTGTTTTAGGAATTAGGCTAATGGTAGCTTCATAAAAAGAGCTTGAAAGTCTTCCCTCCTCTTGTACTTTTTGGAATAGTTTGAGAAGGATAGGTGCTAGCTCTTTGAATGTTTGGCAGCATTCTCTTAAGAAGCCATCTGGTCCAGGATTTTGTTTACCGGAATTTTTTTATTTTTTTTATTTTTAAATATATATCTTTATTGATTTAAGAGAGGGAGAAAGAGTGATAGAAACATCAATGATGAGAGGGTAATTGATCAAGCCTGCAACCAGGCATGTGCCCTGACCGGAATCGAACCCCAATTGCCTGGATCCTAGGTCGACGCTCAACCCCTGAGCCATGCCCCGCTGGGCTGCTGGAAATTTTTAAATTATGGCTTCTATTTCATTAGTTGTAATTGGTTTATTAAGATTTTCTGATTATTTTAAATATAGTTTTGGAAGATTATATATTTCTAGGAATTTGTCCATTTCACCCAGGTTGTCTAATTCATTGGCATATATTTGTTCATAGTATTTTCTTACAATCCTTTGCATTTCTGTGATGTCAGTTGTTACTTCTCTTTCTGACTTGTTCTTTTTTTATGGTTTTTATGTTCTTTTTAAGGCTTAACATCTTTATGTTTAAGTTCTCACTGAGATCATCCATTCTTCCCTTATGGTCCTTGAGCATTCTTATAACCATTGTTTTAAACTCTGTGTCTGATATTTTTGTTGCTTCCATTTCATTTAACTTTTTTCTGGGAAATTTTCTTTTTTTCTTTTTTAATCCTTATCCAAGGGTATTTTTTCCATTGTTTTTCAGAGAGAATGGAAGGAAGAGAGAGAGAGAAACATCAATGTAAGAGAGAAACATCGATTGGTTTCCTCCCACACACACCCCAACCAGGGCCGGGGATAAGCCTGCAACTGAGGTACATGTCCTTGGCCGGAATCAAACCCAGGATCCTTCAGTCCGTGGGCCAACACTCCAACCACTGAGCCAAAACAGCTAGGGCTGGGAAATTTTCTTGTTCTTTCATTTGGGACATATTTTTTGGTCTCCCCATTTTGTCTCTGTGTGTTAGGTACATCTGCTATGACTCCTAAACTTGTCATAATGGCTTTATGATGAAGGTGTCTTATTGGACTCAGTAGCACAATCTTCCAGATCACCTGAGCTTAATGCTCCAGGAATGTTTCTTGTGGGTTATGTGTACCCTCTTATAGTAGTTGTGGCTTGAGTGCTGTTGGCCCTTTTGTGGGTGGAGTTAACCCTTCAAGCTGTCTAACTATAAGGATAAATCTCTGTCTTCATATATGAGTCACTGTAAAGTTGGTGCCCGCCCCCAGGCAGAGTTAATCCAGCAGGGTCTGGTGCCTGCCAGAATCCCTCTTTGGGTGTGCCACTTGTGTGGCTAGTTGGGTGGAGCTCTGGTGTGGTCTGAAGCCCACCACTGGTTGTGTTGATTCTGGGTCCACTTGGACATGGTTCAGATATTGTGTGTAACCACCCTTATTCTACCTGTCTGAAGCTACCATGCTGTTCTCTGTTTGTGGTTTCATCTACTGGGACTGGGTATGTGGGGGAGAGGCCAATCTGTGTAGAAGGTATGGCTTTCACAAGCTTAGACCTGGCTTAGTCTATAAAATGTCTGAGGCTCCCTGCGGTCTGCCTTCACTTGTCAATTAATCTGTCTCACTCTGAGTTTACATGGTCTTCCTCTAGAACCTTCCAAAGAAAGACTGTAGAGTGAATTCAGTCTGGCCACAAATCACCAAGCCTTCAATAGGTTGCATGCTTGGTAGTGCAGTGTGACTGAGGTTGGGAGGATGGGGTTATTGTGTCCCCTACATGGGGTTTGCTGTGTGGTTAGACACTCAATGAGGGGAAAGTGGCCCTTACTCCAGAGCCAAATCACTCAGTCTTTGCCAGTGTCTCCAGCATCAAACTGGATTTAAAGCTAAATTATAGAGCAATCACTTGGTTTGACGCTGGGAGCTGGTCAAGAATAGCTTCCACCTACTTGGCAGTCATGTAATATTCTATGAAATTGTTTACAATATATGGAATCAGACATTTAGGGGAATCAACATATAGAATATTTTTCAAAAAAAATTTTACTGAAAGCAAAATTTTGTCTTATAAGGACATTAAGTTATACATTAATTTGAATACATTTAATTCCTTATTTAAATAATGTTTAAAATACTTTATTTGAATGACGATAATTAAGTATAATTACAATAACAAAATATTTTTATGTTTAGCCTTACTTATAGTCTTTCATCAGAAATAACAGTAACCATACCTTCTCAATGTCTTTTACCAAGATTTCCATTTTGTTATTTACCTTAGACCTGTGAATGGTTATCTCACGTGAACATAAATTTACCTGGGTAACTGACTCTTTTCAAGTTGCTGAAGGTCAGTTATGTGAAAAGACATTGAACTGTGAGATAAATAAAATTGAAGCTCAAAAACATAATCATTTTCACAGATTTCAAAGTTTCAGAGTTTAGAAGCAATCATATGTTAGGGTAGTTGAAGTTTTTAAATTAAGATATTTTAAACCAATAGTAATTTTAGACTGTAATGAAGAATTTAAAAAGAATTTAATTGCACAAAAGGAACTGCAGCCCAGGAGACAGAGATTTAAGTAGCAACTTAAGTTGTGTTCCAATGAGACAAGGGGGAAGCTGAAATTTATAGTGAAAGTTCCTGCCCAGGTTCTCAATTAAGCTTGTTTTATATAAATGATGTATCTAAATTATGCAGCTCTCATCCAAGGTGGAAGGTCTCAGTCTGTTAGCAGAAAGACTAAACCAAGATTTCCCTGCAGTGATTGACTCTGAGGGTGTAAACAACCAGGGCATAGTGAGGAAAGCCAAGAGTTCAGTCTGATGCTCTTCTTGTTATAGAGTATGTGAGGAACTCTTGTCAGCACATGGCTGCTAGGGTGTTATTATCCATAAAATTTGAGTAGTTGCTTGATCATGTGTAGTTCATCTCAGCACATAAATTCCTTCTTGGGATTCACATAAAATGATTCTTTCTTCCTGAGTTCCACAATATAAAGCCTTGAGAATTGAGGTATAGTTTTTTTTAGCTCTTTATTACCTTTTCTGCTTACAAAATATAT